GCGGCAGGGGGGGGGCTGTGCAGAGCAGGGCACGGGGGGGACAGCAGGTTCTGTCCCTGTCAGGACATGTCAGGATGACCTGAAGGGTGAGATGAGACTGCTGCGCTGATGCTACAGATCTGTGCTGGGGTGGAGGCTGCAGCAGTCTCCTTCCCTCCACCACCCGCTGTCCTCCCTCTTTCCCCTTTCCCCATCAGCTGCTTAAAGATGGATCGAGGAACCTGACCCTTCATGGACCAGACAGACCCCCAGTTATGCCTGTGAGACTACTGGGAGCTTAAATTAAAAACAAAATAAAAGAATGCTAATGAGGTTGGCTGGCAGCCAGTCCGTGCCTTTGGGAAGAGCGGACAGTGAGGATATCTGGTCACAGAGGGAAGGGGGGCACTTGCAAAGGCTGTAGCAACGGCCAAACAAAAGTTGTTGTCCTGCTGCAGTCAAGTTCTTAGAGGAAATGAAAGCCCAGGAGGTTTTGGGCTGGGGAGGAACTCTTCATCCTTCCTCTGCTCGGCCCTCTGTTGGCTCTGACACTGGTGGGGCACACACACGTCAGCAAAGTTCAGCGAAAAAGATCTTTCGTAAAACCCAGAGAACCAAGCAACAAAAATGAACCAAATTCAGTGGAAGACACACAGAGACCTGATGGGCGGAAGCTCTAGCAGTGACACAAGCTTTGCTTTCTGATTCAAACACTCCCACTGGAGTCAGGAAAACCTCCAACTGCCCCAAGCTGGGACCTGACCACATCTGTGCTGGCCAGTGCCTCCTCACTGCTCTCCAGATTTACTCATTTTTCAGCTTTGCCTCAAATGCAGAGGTTAGGCCTTGAGTTGTTGAGATTCACAGAAATGCCCAGAACAACCGCTTGGACGTGTAACCTGGCCTCTTGCCAGGCTCACACTTGTCCACCTCTTAATTAGCTGGGGAGTTCCCTTCCCCATCATCTCCATTTTCAACTGTTGCTTTTAAAGCACGAAAAGTAGAAGAGGGCACAGATTCAGCACTCCCAGTACCGAGCAATAGAGACAGGGTGAGAATAGTCCATCCCACCCTGCCCAAACTCCATCGTGTCTGTTTTGCATTGACAGGTCCTGTTATCCCCCTGCTTCTCGCATCCCTTCCAGCCTGGGAACTCTTCTCCCCTGCTCTCCTGGGACTGCTGCCTGTTTCCAAGTGCATAACTTCAAATCCAGTATTAAGATGCATTTTGTTTGCAGTCGTCTGGCTTACTAAGTGGTCCTGGCAGCTTTTGACTGCCCTGTTCTCAGTGTTGTTTGCCACTCTTCCAGGCCAGGGGTTGCACATAAAGTCTGGCAACACTGAATGCCATGCAAGGCCAAGTTTAACAAAAAAATCTTGAATATGGCTTTACTTTTTATCGATCAAACTTGCAATCTAATTTTTCTTTTTTACTATAACTGATTCCCATGAAATGCTGTTAAGTAGCACTAATGGTACTTTAGGCTGTTATACCAGGATGCTGGATCCTGGAGCAGCTCTTCCAAATGATGTTTTCTGGGGATAACTCCATGCAGGCTGGTTGATAGGCAGCAGGCTGTTCCCCTTGGTTCTGGCACCATATCAGCACCCTGTCTCCTTGTGTCCACTGTCTGCCTCTGACGGGTCTCCTTGGGGTTGTTTCCTCCTGAGATGGAACCCGTTAGCAACATACCCTCTTTTGATGACATAGAGATTTTGCAGGTATCAGAAACTCTAGGTTTTGAAAACGTAGTATTATCAGCAAACATCCAGAGATCTCTTTCCAAGAGCAAAACCACACTGTATTAGTGGAGAAGAGCTCTCCGTGGAGTGCAGAGGATCAGCATTTTAGCCCACATGCACTGTCAGGTGCCCCGTTCAGTGACAAGAGCAGTGAGCAAGGACGAGATGAAACATCAACATGGAGCTGCCACCAGGCTGAGCTGTGTTCATGCAGTGTGCAGGGCCAGCGCACAGGTGAGTGTGATCCCTCCCGGTCCCAGGCACCGGGATGTGTTCCGGAGTGCCAGGGTGGGGATTTGAAAGGACATGAAGTTCCTTTCAAGCCAGAGCACTGATGATCTGACGCTAAGCATTGTTGCCTGTGAGTCTCCACTACTCAGCTCACAACCTCTGCACAATTTTGCAACCTGCTTGTTGCAGGAAAGAAACTAAATAAACTCTGTAGCTTTCCCCTGCCAGCCCATTTCAGAGCCCAGCACAACATGTCCCCACCTTATTACCAACTCGGCAGGAATGTGCCCTGGAGCCTGGGTTGCTTGGCAGGGAAATAACATCCACCACAGCGGCCGACAACTCCTTCTGGGGCAGCGAGCAGTGATGCTTCCTGGCAGCCATTTGACAGCTGCACGGCTTCTGCCGCTGGCTGTGGGGCCGCTGGATAACCCAGCCTGGCAGGAGATGTCCCTGCGGGGAGCGGGGCTGCCTGCCCAGCAGTGGGTGAAGCAGAGTGGGGCAGACTCCGGCTGGTTTTGGCAGGTGGAGGCCAAGTCCAGCCCTCACTGGGCGGAGGGGTGAGCTCCGGGGCCACTGCCTCAGGATTTGTGTGCTCCAGCCCCAGGCTGTCGTAGCTCTGCTGGAAGGGAAAACCAGGCCTTTGCTGAGCTGCCTGTGGCCGGGTCACGCTGCTCCTGGCTGCAGCTGCCTGCCTTCTGCCCTGGGCAGCCTCTGCCCTGTCGCCTCACCCCAGTCTGGCAGCAGCAAGGGCAAGGGCCATCCATACACTGGTGGGAAGAGGGACCTGGGCTCCTTGAGAGGCTCTGAGCAATACCAACTCTTCCTGGCAGGAGGAAGGTCCATGGCAGGGCTCCTCACTTCCCTTTGCAGCGACCAAGCAAAGCCGGCTGGGTGCTGCTGGCAGAGGGCAGCCCCCATCCCACCGCCCCCAAGGCGCCAGCGGCGCAGCCTCCCTCACGCTGTCAGGACGTGCCCCATCCCTGCTCGCTGGGCACGGGGAGCAAGCGCACATCTTCCCAGCACACCCAGGTGGGGAGGACAAGGACGGCTCTGATGCCCCTGGAGCTGTCTGAGATGCTCAGGGAACCAGGGAGGACACGCAGCCACCCATGTCCCCAGACACCCAGAGGCAGAAGGAGCCTGTGGAGCTCAGGGAGGGAGGCCAGCACCTGGGAGAGCAAGCGGAAGGGAAAGGGACCTCTTACCTTGGGGCCACGGAGTCCTGACCCAGCAGCCCCCAGCCCAGCAGGTCCCTGACACCAGCGGAGCCAGCGGGGAGAGGCTCGGACGGGAAGGAGGACGCGGCGCTCGCTGGCAGGTGAGTGACTCACTTCCCCTCTTGGCACTTGCGACACGGCTCAGACGTGGCTCAGACGTTCCCCGGCTGCACCCTGGAGTTTGACACTGTCTCCCATGGCCCTTCCTCGAGCAGGCGGTGGTAGGGAACAGTGGCAGAGGCTCTGTGCTGGCCAGGGCTCCTCATGCTGCCCCGTCACCCGCCACCGCGCAGGCCGGGGCTGAGGCAGCGCTGCCCTGCAGCTGCCCCCGGGCAGGGGAGCCCCGGGCAGGGGGGCTGCTGGCACAGGGTCACAGAGGTGGTCTGGCCTTGGTGGGGAGGGGCAGCGCTCTTGGCAGATCTGTCCTCTGGGCTTCTCATCTCCTTCCAGATGCTGGGCCTGGGAGCCAGCACAGCAGCAAGTGCTTGATAAATGCTTCCATTGGAGGTGGAGACTTGCTGCAGTGGGGCAAAGCAACAGGATGAGACCACTGTGCCATGTCAGTCCCCATACAGGGAAACATCAGCCAGAAAAATATTCCAGGCTGTGGCAGCTCGTTTCCTTGCCCTCTCTGCAGCATTATAAACACCCCTTGGTTCTTGTGCTCCTCCAGCCTGGGAAGAAAGGGTGGACGGACACACGGGGGACTCGCTCCCTCTGTGGCCATGGGGCAGCAGCTCTGGCACTGCTCCGCTCGGGTTTCACGTGGGATTTCCCCAGACGTGCACTGTGGCACTGCCATTACTTAGGTCATGGGCATAACATCTGCCTGAGTCACTCGTGTTATGAAAAGAAATCACATGTGTTTCTGTCTGCTCCCTTTATTCACCGTGGCTTGTTTAACAAGTAAATGTTGTTGGGTTTTCTTTGCAGTTAAGAGCTGGCACTGGTTTCTGCAAGGAAGAAGGCGTGAGGTTTCTGAGACAGCCCTGAAGGGCCAGACAATCACAACTGCTCAGTGCACATATGCATGCTGAAAGCACCTGAGAAGGCACAACCTGTTCTGCTATCAGAAGAAACTGGCTGCATGCACACCCTGTAATCCCCCCATCTAAGCCTGCCAGACACCCAACTGCAGTATGCAGAGCTGCAGCAAATACCCCGATTTCCCAACCAAACAGCAAAGCTGCACCAGTTTGACTGTGGCCTTTCTCAGCAGAGAAGGTTGCCAGCGTGCTCTTGTGAATAAGGAAAGATAAACTACACTAGGAGAAGCATTGCCAGCAGAAGGACAGTTAGTATCCCCTCTGCTTGGTGCTGGGGATGCTGCATCTGGAACAGCATGTGCAGCTCAGATGTGGAGAACTGGAGAGGCACTGGCAGAGAATGGGCAGAGAACCGGCAGAGAACAGGCACTGCCACCCAGGTCGGGACCCTGGGACACATCCTCTGGAGGGAGCCAGGCTGGGATAGCTTGGAGACTGATCACTACCTGCAGCTGTTGGAAGTTGCAAAAAGGATGGAAGCAGACTCAGTAGTGGTAAATGGTGTGACAAGAGGCAACAGCCACAAACTGGGGTGCAGGACAGGCAGGATGGACATTGGTGAAATACTTCAGCTGTGGATCCCTGGGACAGGAACCCAGAGAGGCCAGAGGTCTCATCCTCACCACTTGGCTAGATAAAGCCACAGCTGACCTCACCCAGCATTAGTGACAGCCCCATTTCAAACACAAGGTGGAATTAAGGACCTACCTTCCCTAAAACATTTCAGTCTGTTATTTGACTGCAACAATTGCACTGGCACATGTGTCAGTGTTATTTGCCTTTATAGGTGCTCTCCAATGTCATCAAAATGCACTCCTGCAAACCTTGTTCCACCCAGAAAAACTGTTACAGAAGTTCCCAGACGGGGCCTGCTGGCATGAAAAGGGAACAATTTGATCAGACCTGAGAAGATGGTGACACACAAATCCCATCGATTATTTTTAGGTTACATCTTTGTTTGCTTCAGTAAGAATCCGGTAGTGGCAGTGGGGAAGGGGACTTTGCACCTTAATGTTAATATTAATGCTACATGTGGACCTCTCTGTTGCTGCAGGTCAACTGAATATCCCAGAGAGGGAACAGGAATGAAGCAGGCAGCCAGAGAGGCCAGTAATGCAGGAGAGTCCATTTTAATGGCACTAACTGGGCGAAGCAGAGATCTCCTGCTACAAAAGAAAGACCTGATTGCCCCAAAGTACATGTTGACTCTTGCCCTGGGAGCCCTCCAGCTGGTGGGACAGGGAGGTTTCCTGGTAAAGGCTGACGAGCCCCCGCGGGGAGTCGGGCAGCTCAGCTACGTCCCGTCCCGGATCTATCTACAGCGTGCGCGGGGTTCACTGCCCAGCCCAGGGGAGTAGCACTGCCAAACATCTGCCTGTGTTGTGCACAACACAAAGACAGGGCTGTGAGAGCTGCACCCTGAAAGGAGCAAAAGGAATTACTCACAGAGCTGCAAGGCAGAAGGGCCCCCAGCAGCAGGGGGTGCAGTGCCAGCAGGAGTTCTGGAACACAAAAGTGAGGTGGGTTCCAAGGCAGCCGGTGCAGCCCTGCACACTGCCAGGCCTGGGCACGCTGTGCTGGTGCACAAGACAAGGGACGATGCCCCTTTTCGGCTTGTGAACTGTAGGGCTCAGCTGCCCGAGCAGGATGGGTGTTGCTGACACTGCAGCTTGCAAGAGGAAAAGGAAGTCAAGGCAGCCCATTCGCCCTAGATAACACACTGCAGTCACCCAACTCCTGAGGGAACCTTCCTATGTTAAGGCCAACCTTCCACCATTTCCATCCAGTTTCAGTTGCTTTAAGAGGGCAGAGAAAGACTAGCAAAAGAAACTCTCATCTGGAAGAAGAGGAGAGCACAAGCCCTTAACCTCTCCACCTGGGTCCCTCTACCCAACACTACACTGACTGGCTGTAGTTGATCCCCAGAACTAGTTACACTTCTGAAATATAAATTGCATACAGCAAATGAGTTGTTACTGCCCAAGGAGGAGGGGTGGACAGCTAATTTAGAGCACATCACTGTGTTTGACAAACTAAGATAAATGTTAAGTAACATGGTGGTTTATGTCTTACCAAGAATAGATTTCATCTCTGGCTGATCACCCAGGCTACCTACAGCTGTCGTAACTTGGTCTAGCCTTTACTGAATAATTTTCTCTACTCAGTGAAATCTAGCTAATCTGGTGAACATCTGGTGAAATCTAGACCTAAGCCTGTCTACAGGCTGAGGGGATCCTCCATTCTCATTCCTAGATGACACAATAGCACCAGACAGGAAGGTCCTACACCCTGTCCCCTTTAACCCACAAGTGAGTAGGTTTCTGCTGCACTTTCCCTTTCATTTTCTTCTGTTGCAGTTTTCTTCAGATATAAGAAACCAAGTAACTTGCAAAGGTCCTTTCCCATCCCACTATTGCTGACCCAGGGATACACCCTTGCAAACTGCATGTGAAGGGAAGGCAACCTCCCCGCCTCAGAAGGGAGCCAAGAGCATCAGGAGAGACCTCTGGGCTCACAGAAAACAGCAAGGAGCTGGGCCAGACTCTGGTAGACCCCCATGTACATTCTGTGGGAACTGGACACAGAGGACAAGTTATTTCCACAGAAAACCAAAGCCAAGACCCTACTGAAAAGTGCTGCTGTAGCTACCTTTTCACCTTCTGAAAGAAAAAAATAATTACTCCTTATTCTGACCAATGTATTTTCTTGTCCTGCATATCACAGACAAATATTTCAGTCTTTGAGGACCACTGACCCCAAAAGAGCTCCAAGGAGGAAGCAGACCTAGAGATCTCTCCCTCTACAGCATAACTACTTCTTGAAACTAAACATTTCATTCAGTCCATCCCACTGCCTTGACACACATTGCAGAGGCCAGGCAACAGCACAGCCTGCATCTGTGGGCGTCCACATTGTGCATTCACTTGTTTCCAAACAGTTTTCTTTTACAAGGCCTGAATACAAGGATCAAAATGAACCTCACAGGTTCCCTCCAGTGGAGCAAAGAAATATCTAGCAAAGGGCCAGGTATTTCGCAGCTGCTAAAGCCTACTTGGCAGATCAGGAGTTTCACAGGACTTAGCTGAGAGGGTAAGACAGGAGAAATACTACATATTCAGACATAGAAGCACGTCATAGGCAGGACAGGAAGAAAAGGAAACAGAATAGCTAAATTGAGAATGAAACAGTATTGTTATAAGCTACATGTTTTGCTGCCCCAACCAAGTCATACTCCCTGGAAAAAACAACCAACTACAGCAGCCGTAGGACTGGTACTTTGGAGACTTTTGCCAGAGGCAGCACTCCTGAGACCCTGTGGTAAACCACCCCGCTAGGAGCGGTCAGAACATACACATTTCCAAGAAGCAGAATCAGAACATGGGTCGTATAAATGTTTCAAGTTGTCACAGCGACCTGAAAAAATCTAAAGAAAAAAACTGAAAGGTCAGTACAATCGGTCAGCAAAGACATCACACCATCTGAAGGGAAATGCTGCTAGAGAGGCCAGTGTTTCGTATCAAAAGACTTTGGGACAGGAGTGCCTGGGACAGATCTCTAAGAAATATTTTGACAGGGCAACAAGAGGCAGACAAGTCAGAAGGACAGCGTGTCCTCTGGGCAAGAGACTGCGCTTCGAAACACTGATCATCTGAGCTGCTCCCAGCGCTGCCCATTCCTTACGCCCAGGAAGCAGAAGAGGTTGAAGCTGAGAGACAGCACCACAACAGTTAACTGACATTTCCCCCACAACAAACGTGGTTTATCGTTGCCTGGAGAAGGATGTCCTACCAACGCATTCCCAGTTCATGGAGGATCAGGCTGTGAACCAGAGCAATGCTGCACAGTTCAGTGTCTCCCGGACCCGCCACCCACCTTAGTCTGCTGCTAGTTATTGTTTAGCAATTCTGTCCCACCCAGACATCACCGATGTGTTATTTTTTAAGCTGTGCTTTGCTCCTTGAGGTTCAGCTATCTATCTTGCAGGTTATACCTATGAGGACAATTAAGGTAAAGAAACTGTATTCCTGTGTTTACACAAAAAATGGGAATTGTATTCTACTGTTCTAAGAGGTCGGTAATGTGTAAAACACCAAAATACCTTAGTTTGGTTAGGGAAGGATGTTTCACTTCACATCTGGTCACACAGACCAGTGCATGAGAGGAAGAAAGGAAGGCAAGTGGAGAGCACCAGGCGCCTTTTAGCAGATTCATCTAAGTCCTAGGCCCTGTCAGAAAGTTCTGCCTTCCCTGGGAGCTGTTTTTCTTGCAGAAATCTGTTTCGTAACACAACTTGGTGATGTCGCTCCTCCCTAGCAGGCAGAAACAGGTGGCCATTAATCAAAACTTAGAGTTGAGACAGCAGGAGCTGGAGGCAACTCTTCAGGGGCAGCAGGACCAGTCCCTGTGAAGGACCTCACCAACACCCTGACACAAAGAGCAGCCTGGAGGACTGCGCTCGCTTGAAGATGAGGGCACATAAGACAGCTGGCTAACGCAGGGAGGAGGAAGCAAAGCTGTATCTTCACGGAGGCAGCTGCCCACAGCATCCAAGTAGGGGGTGGCCACCAGGACAGATGGGAAGAGTTTGCGGAAAGGCCTCCAGGAGTCTGCCAGGCACACCCGGATCTGCAGTACAGCCCATTTTGAACAGCTTTAAACAGCTGAGAATATATCTCTTAAAAACTTACAATACACACACAAAGTAGGATTTTAAAAATCAGGATTCCTGAGTTTGAGCTCATCCCAGAGGTCAGGAGTTACACCCCTCAGAGGTGCCCAGGGCCTCCCAGCCCATCCATACTCCCCAGGCCCAGGGAGCAGCTCAGCTCCCAGCACAGGCTCCGGCACACCCGCATCCACCCAGCAGCACCCAGGCAAGAGACACCCTCTCCCTGCCCTCCTGGGTGCCACGCTGCAGGACTGTCACCTCAAAAATCAAGTCAGAACAGACTCTGGGATGACAGCAGACCTTACAGGGAAAGTGTTCAGGAAGAGCAGCAATTCAGCAGTGGCCAGCACTCAACTCACACACCTGCACTTGTATCTTTGAATAATTCCAAGAAAAAAACCCAGTAACTTGGGTAAAAATTTATTTTACATACAGACCATTGCAACTTAACTATTAATCAAGAGAAGTTATTTTTCCTTTACAGAAAGTGACCAGCTAGTCTGAGATTAACAGAAGTCTAAGCCTGAGAGCTGGGATTTTAGTTTGGAAATCAGATCTTGGGGAAGGGTCTTTCCAAGCACCACTCAGTTCAGTGAGGAGCTGCAGGACTCGAACTGCAGGTCAGCTGCACTGCACAGTGCTGGAAGCAGATTCCCACAGTGAGCCTGGACCTTTCCAAAGCTGAACTTGTTGAGAAAGATGATGCCTGGAAAGGTACAGATGCATTTCCAGTATTTTGTTCAGCTCTCAAACTAGAAATGGAAGTGGAGAAACAGCACAACCTCTGTGAAGTACAAAACATCGAGTTACAGGGCAGCAGACAAACAGGACAGCAATAATGGTGGGGACACTCCTAAGCCAAGTGTTCTACATATAGTGGGTTCCTGGCTGAGTTTATACTATGGCCCTAGTTAAAATGGACAGAGTACAAAAAATACTTTGACCAATAATTAATTGAACTGGAAACAAACAGTCTACTAAAAAGCAATTCTTACTCTAGGTGCCAATGAGTCCTTAAAAGCAGGGAGGGGACTGAGGAGCTGCACTTGGGCAGTGCTGCCAGGATCATTCACGCTGTTCCATTTTTACTTTGGGAGGTCTCAGGAAGGTCCTGTTTTTCTTTTCTTTCTTTCCCTTTGTATTTGCCTGGAAATTTCTCCAGCTGTCCACGCGACCATCCCGGCTTTCCTGGGAACAACAGAGAGGAAATGAAGAGTTAAGAAGTGCAAGAGCCAGAGAACAGGCAGTACACACCAGTTTCAAGAGATCAATAGCAATTTTTCCCCTTATCCAGCATGTAGCACCCTGGCAGTCAGGACATACAGACACTGTGAAGAGCCAGAGCAACAGGCGCAGCACAGAGGAACTACAAGTGAGCTTACAAACACCAGTATAAGCACTATGCTGTTTTGTTTCAGACACAGCCAGCCTGGGATGTGCAGTCTTGACTAGAGCCTACTGAATCCTCTGATGTGCAAAACAAAGGAGAAACCTCACCTCCAATGGATATTCCTAATCACAGAATCATCTCAGTCCAACCATGAACCTCACCCTGACCGTTCCCAACTCCCCCAGATCCCTCAGCACTGGCTCAGCCCGACTCTTCAACCCCTCCAGGGATCCCGGGGACTCCCCCCTGCCCTGGGCAGCCCATTCCAATGCCCAACAGCCCCTTCTGCACAGAAATCCTTCCTCAGAGCCAGCCTGACCCTGCCCTGGGCAGCTTGAGGCCATTCCCTCGGGGCCTGGCGCTGGCTCCTTGGCTCCAGAGACTCATCCCCCCTCTCTGCCCCCTCCTGGCAGGGAGTTGCAGAGGGCCAGGAGGTCTCCCCTCAGCCTCCTCTTCTCCAGACTAAACAACTCCAGTTCCCAATCTGTCAGCCCAGAACGCGCCATTTCCTACTCTGTCTCTCTCTGCAGCTTGGAGGCACGGAGAAGAAAGAAAGGAAACTTATTGTCTTTTTTCACTCTTCTTGCCCCAAGCTTCATCATAAAGACACAGTGAGAAAAGGTCTCTGGTGCACTCTGCTCTCCCTAACCTACCTGCAGACTCTCCACAAAGCCAATCTGTGATCTCTACAGACTGAAGGTTTCACACAGCAGGACAGAACAAGCCCAGGGATAATCCATTTCCCAGTGTGGGATCCATACATTCAAGTCCCATCTGACTACAGCTGTATCTGCAGTACCTGTGCTGCACACACAATAGCTGCTTCACTCTCGTCCTTCCCTACGGCAGAACGAGGTAAGGCCAAGCTCTAGCAGTGATCTGGACAAGTTTTCAGATGACACAAAACTGTGAAGAGAGGCTGGTAGGCCGGAGGGTGGTGCTGCCATCCAGAGGGACCCTGGCAGGCTGGAGGAATGGGCTGACAGGAACCTCATGCCGTTCTGCAAGGAGAAGTGCAAAGTCCTGCCCCTGGGGAGGAACAACCCCAGGCACCAGCACGTGCTGGGGGCCGCCTGGCTGGAAAGCAGCTTGGTGGAAAACAACCTGGGGGTCCTGGTGGCCACCAGCCTGAACGTGAGCAGCAACACGCCCTTGCTGCAAAGGTAACGGGGTCTGTCCTGGGCTGCATTAGGCAACGCGCTGCCAGCAGGTCGGGGGAGGTGATCCTTCCCCTCTGCTCGGCACTGGGCTCCCCAGTGCAAGAGGGACATGGACACACTGGAGAAGTCCAACAAAGGGCCACAAGGGTGATTAAAGCACTAGAGTAGGTCTCTCCTAAGAAGAGGCTGAGAGAGCTGGAATGTTCACCCTGGAAAAGAGAAGGCTCAGGGAGGATCTCATCAATATGCACAAGTATCTGGAGGATGGCAGAAAGAAGACTGAGCCAGGCACTTCTTGGTGATATTGAGTGCCAGGACCAGAGGCCATGGGCACAAACTGAAACACAGGAGGCTCCATCTGAATGTCTGGAAATGTGTTTTTATTGAGGGTGACCCAGCACTGGAACAGGCTGCCCAGAGAAGTTGTGGAGTCTCCATCATTGAGGGTATTCAAAAGCCGTCTGGGCGTAGTCCTGGGCAACGGGCTCTAGATGGCCCTGCTGGAGCAGGGGAGTTGGACCAGATGGGCCCCAGAGGTCCCTTCCCACCTCAACCATTCTGTGATCACACTTTTGCTAGGCATAAAGCTGTATGGCAACTGCTCTTCTAACCTTCTGGTTTCTTACAGTTTGTTGGTGGAAGCTACTCTTGAAATTAGTAAGAACATGAATTTTGAGGGTTGGGTGGGAATAAGTAGATATTCCAACCTGCTCCTTCTACAATACATGAAGATATAATTCAGCTCTGACAGCAGCCTATGCACAGCTTCTAGGATGCAGTATGTGGACAAGGATTGGAATCATCAGGAGCAGGAAAGCCCAGAAGAGCAATGCAGAGGTACAACACGAGCACCTTTAAAGGTTGGGATTATTGTGTTAGGTTTATTTGGGTTTTTTTGAAACTGAGACAGAATCACAATTGCAGAATATCACTTTAAGTTTTTTTTTTTTCCTTATGGTTGAAATATCATTCAAAGCAGCAACACACATACTCCTTTTGGATATATTTTAAAGGTAGTACACATACAGGAGCAGCCAAGAATTCACATTATTTCGTCTCCAACCACCCTCTCTCAATGATGGTCACTAGCAGAAATAAGCCTCTTATTCTGTGCATTCCAGTGATCCATTTTGGACACCTATCTTTTCACATGGATTAAATGGTTACCAGCAAGGCCGAAGAAGACACCTGCAGAGGTTCAGCTGTCCAGGAGTGTTTGAGGACATGCAGGTATTCAGAGCTGCAGTATCAACAGTGCTGCACCTCCCCTTGCTTGGTTCATCATTATTTGCTTGGAATACTGGCTCATATTTTCTCAGCTGCTATGCTTTACTGCATCCCTACAGCAATGACACCCAACTTCTGTGGCCTTTCTGGTGTGAGAACACAGAACTTCTGCCAGCAGCAAGGGCAGTGTCATTTATCTCTCTCTGGCATTACCTGACAAAACCCACAGCACACTCCACACAGCAGCATTACACAGGTTTTCCAGAATATCCAGCTTCCTCTATCCATGTTAGATAACTCTTCCCAGCCGAGTCTCCAGAAACATACTAATTGTCCACTTTCTGTGGGATGCCAGTCCAGCTCATACACTTCTCTCCAGACACTCTAGCTCATCTTTTCATGAGGTCCTGCACACTGTTGCTGACTTCCTTCCTGCCCACCACCCCCCAGGTATCACAAGACCTCACCTCTGGTGTGTAGCGAGGGAAGAGTTACAGGCTCAATAATTTTGGCAGGCTGTAGGTTTGACTCCTAAAATAGCAGTAGAACAACCACAAAGCTACTTCTGATCCACTAAACCCTGAATACAGGCTGGAAGGGTGAAAGGGAAGCAACTGTCATTCAGATCTCTGATATTCATGAGAGATACAGATTCGTAAGTGTTAGCAACCAGACTGAAAAGTACCAACAACAGCCCTCACTAGTGGCTGAACAGCTGCCAGATTAAGTTTTACTGCTCATCAGTGACCTGGGCTAAGCAGGAATTCAGATTTCTGACTAGGGACAAGAATGAACTGCTGACAGAGCTGAAAAATCCTACACCTTCATTTACCAGACCTGTTTCTGGAAAGTGATACCAAAGTCACACTGGTGGGCTCATCTCCCCACACAAGGACAAAACACAGTCTCTGCATGATCTTTTACTAAGTGTCTACTTGAACTGTTCTACAGCACCTGCAGACAGAGTCTCTTTTCTCTCTCGGGGCATTCCCTGCAGCACGGCCAAGAATTGCTGAGGCCCATCCTGTAAGTTAAGCTGCTGATTACCTCAAAGTTCTTCTGCCATTCTCGTTCTCGTTTAGCTTTCTCTTGTGCCTCAATTTCCTCTTCCCTCTGCCGCTTCCTGGAAGGGAAGCCACAAAGAAGTTATGAACCCACAAGCATCTACTTTAAAGAAACACAGTAATACTTTCAAAACATCTCAGAAAGCTCTTCTGATTTCTTGGTAGATTAAAGTGCTAATCGAAGAGATAAATACACACATCTAAGATAGGAGAGCAAATAGAATTTTATTTCAGATCTGGAAGAGCAGTGAGCAGAATAGATGGTTTGGCACCACTGACAGCGTGCATGTATTTAATTAGTGAGACAGCTTCTCTTGCTTGGCAAAACAAGTTGGACTCCTTCATAACTCCAGTGACAAGTTTCTAAAACTGTTGAGTACACACTTTCAGAAGTTAATAAACATCTGAGCATGCAAGGTAAGAATTAAATATTTTTTCCTCCTAATTTTCATCTGTATTCAAAAGTAGTGCCTTGCAACCATCTCCCAAGACTGCCTTCACTGACCAGCACAGAAGCTGTCCCATGAAGTGCATCCACAGCGAGCACTCAGTGAGCACTTAAAATAGTTCAGGACCACACATGCCACAGAGTATTTCTGGCACTTAATTAAAATAAAAAATAGTTTCAGTGCTAACAACATGCAGAAATGTGTCACCATTTCACTGTTTTAGCTGGCTTCCATGTATGCACATTAAGAGTATATAAGCATACTAAATATATCAGTGCCTTAAATACAGGTGAGCAAGTTTCCGTTTGCACTTCTCAAGCACAGAGCTCTATAACACACAGGTTACTCAAAATCTGCATAACAAAGTCATCTTGACAGGACCCTTATTAATCTAATCCAAGGCCCTGCTTTTAGAAGGAGGTTGGACCAGATGATCTCCAGAGGTCTGTTCCAACTCAGGCCTTTCTCAGGCTCTAGGATTCCTTATTTTCTCTGAGGAAGCATGAGGGGGGAAGAAAGAGCCTGAACTGCACAATCAGAATACTGCTCATACCTTTCATGCATTTCTTTTGCTTCTCTTTCTTTCCTCTTAATTTCCAGTTCTGCAAAGAGCTTCATCGTCTGTTTGTATACAGCTTGTTTGAACTGTAAAACACAAATCCAGTCTTAAAATAATGCCCATTAATACAGCTAGAGAAGTCTGTTTTACGTAAGAATGTAAGAAGCATAAAAAGAATGTGAAGCATATGTGTGCCCACATAACCCTGCATCCTACAGTCAGTAGCAGCAGCAGCATATGAAAAGGTATAAACCCCTGTTGATTAAATTCTGGTCCTCAGGAAACAACTACTTATTAGCCTCACATTAGTCTCATTTTCATTTGTATTCACAGAACTGTGCCTAAGCAGACCTGTTCATTTTAAGCTCTCTTATTCCTCTGTTAAGTCTTGCAATGTTATATTTGACAAAAAGAGGCAAAATAGCCACTGTTTAGTATTTCCCAGCAGATCTTATTGACATGTTGTAAAAGTCTATCATTGGCTTTCCAGAGAAAACATCAGTATAGTTAAAACAAACTTCATTACTAAAGAACAGCAGGAGCCTTCTGACAATCAATGGAAAATAAGATCGTTACGGGATTACTGTGGTGCTATCAAGAGGAAAAAAATCACTTTGTAGTTAAAAAAAGGTGATGACAGTAAGACTAATGATGTCAGTATTTGATAATCATCTATTATTCTGTTAAAGCCTCTAATATCACTTGACTTGAGAAATCAGGTAAGTATAACTAAGTTATGTCATGCCTTTTTTAATAAAAGTTGCAGAACAGCACATCTATCCTCAAGTGCTACATATATGGAAGAAACAATCAAAACTGCTCTTACTACAAAACGTCACTAAGACCATATTTTAGACATGCTGCAGTGGGTTCTATACACGCCTCTGCTGGCAGCAAGAACAGCACAGTTCCAGTATTCAGAATACAACAATAAATTCAAATCAAAAGACTGCATGATGTGCAAGCAGCGAAGACTTGCTCCAAGAACTGGGTACTTTGATTGATATAATCTCATTATATATTTACTGCTTACACTACAGTTAAACTATTTTCTAAAGTATACGGGTATTGTCCAACACATGTACTCTACAGTGGTTTATCAGAATTTGTTCTTCTGTAAGCACAAGGATTTACAACACTAACAAATCTAATAAATACTTCTGTACTGGTTTTGACTCTTAATTCCTCGAAACACTTTCTGTACTCCCCAGTATATGACTTACAACTTCAGGATCATCCTCTTCTACAGTGGGAGGTTTTCCATCCTTCTTCAACTGCTTCTTTTTTTCTTTCACCTAAAGAATAAGAACAAGAATAAGAGCCTAAAAAGTTCCATAGAGCTTACATAATTGTATCCAAGTCATTCTGCATTCCTATTCCACTGTGTGGGAAGAACTCTGGATGACAGCAAGTTCTTGATTTGGATCAGTTTTATTTTAGATTTAAACCTCCTGGTCCTAGGTCCAGATGAATACATAGAGAATCACTATCACATGAACTGTAATAATTAAAAATACTATGTTAGATACTATTCATTCAAATATCTTTGTGGGGTTTTTTTGTTTGTTTTTAAGATATATTCACATCCAATATACCATCCAAACCAGCAGGAAGTTTATTTTCCTCTGTAATAGCCAAAAGACTTACCATCCAGAACATTAAGTGTCCCTTTTTAAAGTATCTGAGTTATCCCATAAGCTTGTTGTGTTTTAGTCCACCCATGTCACTCAACTTCTTGGCCAATGCAATCCAAGCTCCTTTTCTTATCTTATAGGTCATTTTCCCCCAAATTCCCCAGGTACCTGCTGTCACCACCTACTTTCTTCCACCTACACACATCTGAACTGCATCATTCATTCATAGACTTGAAAAAAAATATTTAGGTCAGATCATGTTGTCTGACCTAATTATTTCAAGTACTGAATTTCACTGAAGTATCTTGCACTGAGTTCAACAGTAGTCTTGGACAAAGCATGTTTGTTCATGCCATGAAGAGCCAGAGTCCACCTGCACAGCTTCCTGATGAGGTTTGCTCAGCTCACCTTTTAATGACCTAAACATGCAGTGGGTACACCGAAAAGCAAATTACAGACAACTGATTAGCACCCACCCCCACCTCTGGACGTTCCTATGGAATACTTACAGTGTGTTCCACATATTCTTTTCCTGCCTGTATCACATCCAAGGCCCTCTTCTTTTGCTCCTGATCTAGCAGCAGCTTGTACGCTTTATCTACAGCTAACAAAAAACACCAACATCAATAGCACCAGTAGTCACATTCCAAGGCATTGCAAGATTGCTACTTGTTGACCAGACAAATTTTGTTTTCTAGAATCTGGGGGGGTTTGTTTGTTTGGTTGGTTTTTGTTTGTTTTTCTAAATACATCTAGGTAAGTGATATCACAATTAGTCAAAAGAGATGTAGGGTACAGTAATAGCAGAAACTGTCAGATACCTTTTGGAGTTAGCAGGGTGAAACTATCAGTCCCACCAAGTGATTTAGTTATAGGGCAGGAGGTAAGTTTAAGGTGAATAAAGCCTCACCGTAATGCACACACCTAAAATCATCATATTACTTCTGTTGTATGGTCTTTGAATAAAATCTAATGTACAGATTAAACAGTTTTGCTTGAACAATCTCAAAACCCGAGGAACATGTTTGTCCCTGTTGAGAACTGACAATGCAATTATCGCCACCTAGTGACACTTTCTGCTGAAACGCCACGCCGCACATCTGCTTCCCGGCTCATCTAAAGTGCCTCTACAGCGATTCTTCTGTCGTCAGTGGGCCCTCCACCCCTAATAAACATTTAAACCAGCTACAGAAGAATATCAGTCCAACTACTATCATACACTAGCCCAGAAAAAAGGGAGAGCACATTACCTTCAAATGCCTTCTGGGCTCTATCTGCATCGTCTTGATTTTTGTCTGGATGCACCAATATTGACAACTACAAGGAAAAGGACCTTGATGTGAAGATCATTGTAAAAGATGAAGAATATTTCAGAGATTTTTGCGAGAGAAAGAAAATAGTTTCAGATAAAAGGAATCACAGGGGATCACATTTGTATATGGGCAAATCAGCTGACAACATGTAGAATTATGATCAGTAGAAGTTTATAAATTAAATACAATTCCTGTAATAGGCTATGTGGGAAAAGCTGCAGCATGGGATGTGCAGAACAATATAAACACCCTTCAGCTGCAGTGCCTGGGGCTGATACCAACCCTCTGGTCAATCAAGTTTTGTAACCTTGGTCTTAAGAAGAAATAAAACTACAAAGATCATCCTCAAATGAAGTTTACCTTTTACTCAACAATGTGTCCCAAGAAGTTCTCCAGTATCCCTAAGGCTGTTCAAATATCAAACTATTTAATAGAGTGGGTAAGATTTTCCTTAGGCTCCTTTACTGAAAGTTAAGAAAATTCCTTCCTGTACTGTCTCTCCAGCAGAGACAAGACGTTGACCACTACCATCTTTAGGGCAGCCTTAAACAGGCTAGAAAGCACATGTCCTCCACCTTCCACTTCTAGAGAAAGAGAAAATTATTTCAAATCTTCCCCATGTGACTTGTGACAGTCACAGTGCGGCAACCGAAATTGCATCAGTGACCAAGAATGCAAAATAATTACTTCCTGAACTCTACAGATGGCACTTTCTAGCTCACAGAAAAAAGGTTTGCCTCTGGTCCTGAAGAGCAGGAGCCTGCTGCTGATTTACCCTGTGATTTGTTACAGTCAGTGTCTTTTCTTTCAGTTGGCTGTGCCACATTTGTATTTCGATGTTTGATTTCTTCAATGCACAATTCCAAGCCTTTTTTTCATTTCGTCACATTGACTTCAAACATTTCCCTGTGGTATTCTAACAACCTAAAGCTAAGACAGCCTGTTTATTAATTTGCAGAACTCAGAAGTCAGCAACAGACTAAAAAGTTATCCTCCCACTTCCCACATACAGGAGCAGCCCATATTCCATCACCAACTGGGCGTGTTCCCCTGTCACTCAGCACAGCTTCCTGTCTAAAGACAGTTCCTGACGTTTATACCACTAATTCAGGTGGGAGACTACAGTCTTCTAAATACTGTTTCTTTTCTGCATACACTGATTAAACTCAAATTTCTCCTGCAGATCTGTCAGCAGAGTAAGTCCAGGGTAATGTTTCCTGCGTTGCAAGAGGCAATGCATATGGGTCAGTGAGCAAGGCTGCTACTGTTCCAGTTAACCCAGCCACCAAAAACGAACACTGAAATTCTTAAAGAAACCTCACAGAAAATACATCTCTGTATCCAAGTCCATATATTTGAGAAAAATACCTTTTCTCAGTTCTTAGTTTCTGATTAATTTTAACCCTCTTGTTGGACTTTAGCTCAGCAAGCTGATTATGCACAGGCAGATAGCCCCATCACACACCCCACGCAGCACACCATGGCCCAAGGGACACTTCTGCAGCTCTCCTCTTGCTGATACAAAGATTGTTCTATGCATGAGAGAGTTCTGCGCAGTGAGACACTGGCACAAGTTGCCCAGAGAAGCTGTGGCTGCCCCCTCCCTGGAAGGGTTCAAGGCCAGGTTGGACGGGGCTTTGGGCAACCTGGGCTGGTGGAAGGTGTCCCTGCCTGGAGCAGGGGGTGGGACTGGATGGTCTTTAAGGTCCCTTCCAACACAAACCATTCCATGATTCTATGATTTCTTCACAAAATGGCTACTGCTCTACTCAGATACAGCTTTATCATCATTTTTCCTGTCCCCAAACACAGCTGCACAATCCCTACAGAGCTTCTGGTTTCCTTCCAAAGACTTCAAATGCAAAATCCAAATACCTGCCGAAATCTTTTCTTTATCTCTTCATCTGTGGCTTCAGGATCCATCTGCAGTACCTAAAAGAGACCATGAGAGCTGAGCAAGTGCAATGATACTCCCCATGTTTCAGGTTCCTGGCAGCAATCTCTAAACACCTGGTTCCCTGGCATCTAGACACAATGCTACCCCCACCAGGGTGCTGCTTCAGGACATGAATTTTCACCTAGTAGAACAGAAACATTTTAAGAGACATCATGTTTGGGACATTCTACTTTCAGCGGTGCTAGATTTCTCTTCCTGTGTCAGTGTCCTTTCCACACTCAAGTCTCATGTAGACAGCTGCCATCCCTAAATAACCACAATTGGTCTAAATCTTCAACCAGTCCTGTAGCAATGCTGTTTGGCAGAAGCAAAAGCATATGACGGCCTTGAGACACTGTCAGATCATGCATAACTGAGAACTTTGGGCATGAAACATATTACGTTGTAAGAATTTATTCACTGTCATTCCAAAAGAGGATGGGAGAGTTTCAGTGTTTGGTTTCCATGGATGAGTCCACTTTTCTACAGATTTTCAGGGATGTGGCAGAGTTTAGGAGCTTTTTTGTGAATTAATTTACTGAACAGAAATCCTACTCAACACATATGCACACTGGCCTGACACTAAGAATCTGCAAATAAAAACCCACTATCTCACAGAAAAGCTACAGCCTGCTTCCAAATGGCTTTAATTTACAAGTCAAGTGCCATGATCTACACAGAACTGAACATTGTCAAGGTGAATCTGCCCACTGATCTGGCTGACCAACCCGAAACTGGGATTACAAAAAGCACCTGAGGCTTTAAAAATGTAGATGAAGATGATATCAGGAAGGAATACACGGAGGGAAAGCCAGCTCCAGATGAACACCAGATTGTTTTATTTACTGCCTTCCTCAGGCTTTCATAATTGTTAAGACTTTATAACTGACTGCAACTGGAATCAATGTGGAAGGGAATTATCTGTTTTCCACTGACTCCTCAAAGATTGCTCACTAGTGTGAGCAGTGAGAGCCCTTCTCTCATTCTATACACCACACAAGTTCAGTGGGATGAACATCCAAAATAAATGACACTACTAGAGATGCCAAGAGTGCTCAGGACAGATACCTGCAGCTGTTACGAACTCATTCAGAAAGCACCTGGCATTAATCTGCCACATCTTCCAGTGCTGCTGCACAAGGGAGGAGATGTGCCAAGACAACGTTGTTTGTGCCTGCTGTAAAAGAATGGCACCATCCCATCTTCTGTAAGTCTTCTACACAACAATCCACATGTAGAGATTTTTTTTGCTTTATGTTTGGTCTTTTTACTGAAATAAATGCCCAGTAAATCAGAAAGTTAGCATACCAAGTCAGGAAGGAGGATAAAACTTTCAAACTAACCTCAAAAGGGTTCAAGTTGAAATAGGAAGATCCAGGTCGGGTCAGCCTGTCAATCTGGTTTTTTGATGTTAAAACAGAGTCTCGTTTTTCAATTTGCTTTACCTAAAGAACAAGAGAGACCTATATTAACTGACCATCACGATGCACTTACCTGTTTTTCCATGTGTTTACTACAGCAATCATCATCGTCCCATACTACTAACAATAACTAGTACACATCCCAAGCCTATAGATATTTTACTCAAGCGCTAGCAGAGCACAGGTTTTTTTTAGCCTTTTCTACAGCATGACAGTATTTTTGACATGACATTTTAACTACAAAAAAACCTGGAAAGGACTTCTGCCTGTCTCTCCTATGGCTTGCTTAACAGCTGTAGCTCTTCCCCTCACTTTGCTCCTACATCAGCAGCACTGTCATCGTGGTTCCTTGGAAACCTACCGCACTACTGCTTTTAACCCACTGTTGGCGGGATAACCCACTAAACACAGTAAGTGATACCCTGCAAGTATACAAGTCCACTTCGTTCCAACCACAGACCGTTTAGTTCAGTTCAATTTACTTTTTGTTCTTTACAATATTAAGCCAAACGAAACCATGCATTTACATTTAACATCCACCTTTATTTAAAGAAATAATTGTTCACCAAACTGGCACTACCCTTCTGCGGGCAGGCTCAGGTAAACACATTCAAGCTGTGCACAAAGTAACGGGGACTAGCACCGGCTGAAGGAAAGGGCCCCACGCGCCTCCCCGGATAACAGTTTGTCCACAAAAAGGCCGAGCAGTGGAGCACAGCGCAGGGATATGTCCTGAGACCGCGGAGCGCACAACTCCCACTCGGTTTATGCGAAGGGGCGGGATGGGGGATGAGCGCCCGGCTCCTTCCCCCAGCCCTAACAGGGGCTTTTCGGAGGGCGGCAGACGCCGCGGGGCCGGCGGCAGCGAGCCCGGGGAACGCCCGGTCTCCCCGGACCGATCACCAACCCGTCGGCACCTGCCGCTCGCCCACCCGGGCTGTTCGCTCGCCCCCCCACGCAGCACCACCAGCCG